TCGGGAAAATCCAGGCGGCGGCGGAACCGGCTGGTTCTTCGTCGGCGAGCGAGGTTCCGATCGAAAACCCGGTTTCGGAACCTGGATCGGAATCTGGAGAACCGGAACTTGGATCATCCGATCCACAAGCGGAAGAGAAGGCTGTTACCACTGATGTGCCGGTGATGGAGAACTGTCCTGAGACCGACGCTAATCCTGAAGCTGAAGTCCTTGCGACACCTACCATCGCAGGTTTTTTGTTCTCTCTGTCTGTTAATTGTGTTCTGTTTCGAAATTAATCTACTTTCTAATGTTTTGGTGTACTTTGTGGATTTAGGTGAAGCTGTGGCTGATGCTGAGAAGTCGAAGACGGGTAAGAAGCGAGCTTCAAAGGCTCCGTGGGCTAAGTTACTTTCACAGTATCCTCAGGTTGGTGGTCAAGTTGCTTCGTGATTGGTTTTTTATGTCTACGAGTCTGCGAATTGCGCATTGAGGGTTTATCAATGTGCAATTCGTGTCATTTTTTAAGGAAAGATCTGGTCTTTCACTCGAAATGAGTCTAGTTGTTTGCATGTCCAGTTCTTTATGTTTTGGGACTGTGATTCTTTTGTTTATGAGTTTGTCCTGAGGTGTTTCTCTGCAATTTTCAGAACCCTCACCGTATCATGAGGGGTCCTGTGTTCACTGTTGGACGCCGTGGATGTGATTTATCAATCAAAGACCAATCTATGCCCAATACCCTGTGTGAGCTGAAGCAGTCTGAGGTAATGAAATCAGATTGGCCCCTTTCGGTTTCGTTTCTTAGTGGTTTAAAGGAAAGAAAAGCCTTTTGCTTACATAGTTTTGTGCAGCATGGAGGTCCATCAGTTGCATCCCTGGAGATATTAGGGAATGGAGTTCTTGTTCAGGTCAATGGCAAGGCTTACCAGAAAAGTACTTGTGTTCATCTACGTGGTGGTGACGAGGTCATCTTCAGCATTTCTGGGAAACATGCTTATGTATCCTTTTTGGAGTTGCTTAGTTAGAAATTTATCGATTCGTTTTATGTTATTTATAGTGTTCTTGCTATTTAAATTCAGTGGTTTTTCAGAAACTTTTTCCTGACAAGTGTTTAGATATTTCAACCTCTTAAAGATGAAAACCTAGCTGCTCCTGACAGAGTTTCTTCATTGAGTGTATGCGAAGCTCGGGGTTCCCCTCAGAAAGGGGTTCATGTTGAGACAAGAGCAGGAGACTCCTCAGCTGTTGATGGGGCCTCTATATTGGCATCTCTATCAAAGTACCGCAACTTCC